CTCTGTCTCTGGTGAATCCTCTCACCGCCCCTGCACCTCTGGCCTTTTACCCCAGCTCTGTATGCAAAAATAAATAAATCTTTAAAAAAAAATTTAATGCTTTTCAGAAAACAGAGATGACAATTTAAATATTAACTCCAAGACAAACAAATAAAATAATCAGGATAGTAAGTTTGTAATAGTTATAGGTTAGACTATAGCATTCTGTTACGTAGGGTTGCCACAGAAGTCACCTGTAACAATTTCCGGTGCACATTACTTTACTTCAGTTTCAACAAGTCTCCACATTCAGCAATATAGTGATAATCCTGTGAATGTTGTGAATATTTTATTTTATTCAGAAAAGTTGAGGGGGTTCAGAATAGGCCTACCTGAGGCCTGACACCTCACCATGTGCTTATGTGAGCTGAAGGCAATGAAGATCCTGATGAGAACATGCTTAATCAATCCAAGACAAGGCTGACAGAAAAGATGACTTTTAATGTCAGGGAACACAGCCCTCTAGGAACTGTGTGTCCTCTTAGAATCACAAACGCGAACAGTGCAGACAATCGCTGCTAACAATTAACAGCAAATCATAGTTACCTCTCTGTCCCCAGTTGTTGGGAACCAGCCCCAACTATCGAGGTGTCTGGAGGCAAGACAGCTTAAGGTGGGAAGGTTTCGGCCGGCAGCCAGCCAGAGATTCCAAAAGGGACGAGGGGAGCGGGCCCGAGGAAGACGGGAGTCAGGGTTGGGTGCAGGTCTTCCTGCCATTCCCTCAGCAGGTCTTTATTTACGCTGTATAGCAAATAATTAATTGCAGTAATGCATAGGCTAAGTTAATGGGACATGGCCATAAATTGTCATAAATGTTGTCAAGGACAAGGGGAATAAAACAGTTTTTTTTTTTTTTTTGGCCCTCCCTGGTGGCGCAGTGGGTTAAAGCACTTTACTAAGAATCAAAAGCTACTTCCGCATGAGTTCGATCCCCGCCTGCCCTGGAAGAGATCCACACGGCGTGGCAGACCTCTCCTGACCCCCCCGCTGCTCCCCTCAGCAGTGTACTTCGTCTATCTGCCTGTTCTGCTCTCCACTCTGTCTCTGGTGAAGCCTCTTACCCTCCGCATCTCTGGCCTGTACCCCAGTTCTGTATGAATAAATAAATAAATCTTTTAAAAAAAAACAGTTTTTTTTTCTTAACATTTCATGGTATACTAAATTATACGTTTTTGTGATAACTGTCATGTGTACAGATGTTTAGTTATCACTCAAAGGAAGAGGGGGTCTGGGAAGGGATGAGCTCCTTAGCAAAAGGTTATCAGGGGTCTTAGGGAAGTAATAAATTGTGTTAGCAGTGTTATCAGTGATTGTCTAAAGAAAAGCTAGTGGCTAATTTAAGGCTAGCAAGGAGTAGTCAGTGCTTGTTTTAAGAAGGAGTAAATTACGGGAAAGTTGTACAGTTGTGTATTAAGCAACACTTGTGTAATCAAGGTTAAAATTGTCCTTGAGTCTTTATGCCCTGGGAGTCGTATCTGAGGTTTGCTTTTTATTTTAAAGAAACCAAGGAAACTTCTCAGGAGTTTTTATGCCCTGGGGTCTCATCTCTCCGGGAGCTTGCCTTTTTTCTCAGGAGGCAGAGGAATTTCCAGGCCTGGGGCAGCTTGTCTGGGCCAGGCAGCAGCAGCCTTATGAGGGAGGCTAAGACAATCCAGTTGTAAACTGATGGTTGCTCAGAATATTTTGATATTATGATTATACAAAAAAGGGAGGTCATAAGTTAGCAGTGGAAATTCTGATTTTTTTCAGAGCTTTTCCCAATCTATCCGGAATTTGTTGGCCAGTCGATAGAAGTTGCATAGCTGTAGCTATCAGTCCTGCCACTATGAAGCAGAAGCATTGCTCACCTGCAATTTACGACTCAGACCCAACTGGCCAAGTCATGTTGAGAGGAACCCTAAAATTATCTGGCCTTGTGTTCGTGAGAATACCAAGATCTACCCTAGGTAGAATATGCCCAGAAAATTTCTCAAATTTTTCGTTCTCACCATGAAAAAAAATCATATTCTTCTGTTGCAGCTGTACCAGACTGCTCCAAAACGTCCGGTCCTCACCCATGTAGAATAACATCACCTCTCACATTAGGATCTTGCTGCCTGTATAAGGGACAGACTGAAGTCCCTCAGGGAGAACTCAGCCTCGAAGTCTCCCTGGAACTTTCCGTTGCTCTATTGCTTCAGTATTTCAGCTTTGAAATCAAATGACAGGACTAGTGTCTGTATTTCATTTTTGAGCGAGAAACACAACAGCCCACTCTCGCTGGCTGTAACAGATTTAGAGATGAAGTTATTGTTTTGTCCCAACTTCTGTGACCGGCCGCAAGAAAGAAAGGCGGGAAGCAGAAAGGCTGAGCAAGCAGAGTTTATTGCTCCTGGACAGCAGCTGAGACAGAGCCCCTAGAGTGGGACCCACAGCTACTGACAGCCTTATAGTGGGGGAGTGTCTCTTATGTAGATTCTAAACTCAAATTCCAAAAGGGTGACTCCTTGCTATGCCCCTTGATTAAGGCCCAGTTCATTATTACCTTCGTCTAGTCCCATCCTGGAAGCAAGGCCCAGTTAGTGACCCTAAAGGAGTAGGAGTGTGGTAAAGCTCCTCTGGCTGTGCCTGGCTCTCTGGTGGATGTCTGGTCTCTCCACTGGGTGGGG